GAAACTAGGAAGATTTGTACCAGTGACATGATCGATAATATGCTGAAAAGACTGAGAAGAGTCCTCATTCAAAGCGGATACCCAACATGGTTCATGAATAAGAACATGAGCCTAAAGTTGCAGCCTAAATGAAACCACATAGTAAGAAGACGTAGTTTATCCGAACGAAACCTGTAATGTATTTACGCAACACATTTCAGACATTCTGATCACACAAACACACGTACTAGTCATACACAGTTATTTATAAGGCAAGAAGGTATGAATTATTACAATACAGTTCAGACTGTGTACAGGTCAAGGTCACATATAATTGGTAGGGAGATAACACAAGGATGTGGGTAGGAAAGAAAGAGAAAACCAAAGAAGATAGGGGTAAGAATATTATTAATTAATTCAAACTTTAGTTCTAAATTGGATTACCAAGGCAGGTTGAAAGTAATAACAAATAACTTTTGGACACATAGGACAAGTGTAAGCCATTTTATGGACAGGGCTTCAACGAATTTAAGTATGTGGCCCAACCCTGTTTTATATATGGGGTTGTAGGCATTATTAAAATCAGCCTTATGACTCACCTCTGTGATGTGCTTCGCTATAGATGATGCTGGGCAACTATTTCCGGGATCATTTGTATTCTGTGATTTTATTTGTTGTTTCAGCCACTTTGGAATATGTTCTGTAGACCTAACCTGCAGAGACTAATAGGCCCCCCTGTGTCCCTACATACTTGTAAATTGATGAACACAATGAGATGTGACACTACCGTTTGGATGCTGTGAGGGTTTACAGGACACCATAGATCTCGTTTTCCCTATATAGAAAAGTTTGGCTGCATAAATAGTTCAATTAATTAGCGCCGTGAGTCTTTGTTTAGTGACCAAAGTCGGCTAGACGAAGGAACGTATATATTACAGAGACAGGGAACAACTTGTGGCTGCTGAAAGTAATTTGTGGTTTTGTAGCAAGGGATGTCTACTGGCTGATTTAGAGAGACTGTTTTTGAGCATATCTGAAGCCTGATCATGAATAAGGTTTTCTTTGGAACTGATTCGGTGACCAGTTTGGACTGCTTATCTTCCGTGTTTCCGTCAATAAATCGGTTCGGGTAACCGATCTCTGCAAGCATGGCTTTTAGGATGTGAAATTCTGATTCAATGCCACCAGAACTACGAATGTTTTCTATCCTTTGATATTAATTGTTTTGTCACTTAATGCTTGATATTTAACTTTGATTGTAATCATAAGCACTTTAATTGCATTTTAAACTATTATTTTTTGTATTCACGCTTCTGTCTAAATTTCCTCATGTGATATACTGTCTTAGGAGTCATGTATATACCACCGTGTGGCTTAATAATAAATTCGTTGAAAAGAGTCTTTTCTGTGAATATTGTGTTCCTAGATATACCGAAGGTATTGGAGATGGACTGGACACACACTTATGCAGCCCATGAGTGCCTTCGCTCAACAGACTGTCGCTTGAGTGGTACCTGTAAGGGAGTCGATGACTTGGGCATAAACCTGAGAGTGATAAGAGCGAGACTGTGTGAGAAGGAGATGAGATCTTATGGACAATATTGACATCAGCTGAAGCTGCCACTGTGGGGAACAGGGTGAAATGGAGATATGCTGCTGAAAGCCTACACTAGACTTGGAACCCGAGAGAATAGTAATAAATAGTACACACATTTTCATCAAATTTATAATGCAATATGTGTTCAGTCGTCCATGGTTCTCGATGGTTGAATCTACATTGGAACCAAACTGAGCACATGGAGAACAATAACAGTAATAAGATTTGCCTCATAGTTCTATTCTCTTTTTTACTTCCTTCTGTGCTAAATTATCCATGAAGCTTTCAATAATAACCACTCTTCAGTAATCAAATAAAAACCAATCATTCCAATGATCAAAAGTGCCCATTAAAAATTTTAAAGGATTAATTAATGAACAAAGGATATTCTTTCCGATAACTTCATTAGGTGACGCATGACCATAATAATTATAGAATTATTGTTAATAACAAAATAAAACTTGCAAATAACATTCAGTCAGTTATAGCTGATAAAGTTTAAATTGTCACTGAGTGTGAAGAAAGGTAGCTGAGTTTCAACTTACCAAGTGTGAAGAGGGTGAGAAAACATAAAAAATGAACATTTGAGAATAATAGTGGGGAATTAATCACTGAAGTCACAGTAGGGGAATTTATAGACACACAAAGAAGTGGCCCAAAGCGAAACTAGTTATACTGACCGCACTAAGCACACACTTTCCAAACGTACCGCTGAACATCATGCGACATGGTTAGCAAAAGGACAATGTAAGACCGTTACTAGCTTAATTCTCGAGAACATGGTGAACTCAATCCACGTAGCTCCATCTGAGTCGTCTTTCGAGATTATCAACAAGGTGAGACTAGATGGTAGAAAGGACGTCACATTTCGGCATTTGTGTATGGCGGAGGCTTTGGAAATTCTTCAATACAACTCACAACCTTGTGTAATAACTAATTCACTATTATCACTGTCATATTTTCTTTTTGTACATTTTCTCATACTCTTCACACTTGTTTATAGCTGATAAATTAAGGTGAGCAACAGAGAATTTATTAACTGATAGATTCCACAGCAGGCTAAAGCAGAAATGGTGTCTGGACCTGTTTGTTTTTGCACACGTGGAGCTCCGATTATTTTAAGCGAATTGCTGTAGCCTCTGCTGCTTACAGTGTTCGGTATCTAGAGGCATTTGACAAATTATTCAGTCGGTGGCACTACGGTTAAGACTCTCGCCGACTATGCACACGGTTCGGTCCTTTGTCGACACACACCTGACATTAGTCGGTCGACCTGCAAAATTTAGGCTTCCGATATCACATGCTGAAAACTCCATGCTTGTACCAACGGAGTGGAATTGACCTATAATAAAAGAAAATTTATTCGTTACCCCACAGACACTTCAAGGCTAGATTTGTGGCCTCTTCGGACGAGGCGATATAATATGGAACTGTTGGTGGTTTCAACTACACCTTTGCTTAACCATACTGGTAGGTATTCTCGAGGCCGATGTGTTTTGCTGTATTTTTCGTCATTGCAAGTATTAGCATTAACTTCTCAATTACGTTTTTGTTTAATCTGCTCATATATCACGTAGCATACTTTGTTACTCATCCCTGCTTTTTCCATTAACATCCGATTTTTTTATCGGTTGATTTTTCGATCAAGTGGCCTGTAGTCTAAACGTTTTGATCATCAGGCACTTAGACATACTTTGAGTGATCTTAACTATTTGGAAGTATTTCGATGATGTGGACGATACTGCAAACTTATTCCTTATTTTGACTATACCTCAAAAACCGAGTGTGAACACACACAAAAGTTATATTATGATCATTATTTGTCTCTTGAGTTCCGAGTGGCACAGTAAGCTTCATTAGCATATCTTGATTTCGGTTTGTTATCTGAGTCATTTTAGCTGGCTCCATGACTACTCATAAGTTTTTATTTCTTCTTCAGATGATCTAATGAATGTCAGCCTTCGATACTCAACTCATTGTATCCCAATGACGTTCCGTTCGACGTTGTGTCTGGTGTCCTCTCAGCATATGTTAAATCCATCTTCATTTCCTTCAGCATATCTGTTAGGCAATAGATTGCTTGTCAGTTTGCTGACAGTACTTCTGCCGGCTAATGCCTTTCAGACAGCGATTTCATTACGCTGTTGGGCAATACAGGTATGTGTTTGTGAAAGCCTTCAACCTGTTTCAAATGATTTTAGGGTTGCGCAAAGTAATTGAACCACACAGAAGCATTGATGTGACATCAATGTTCTGCGAACTGTTGACACGTTTCAGAATTGTAATGCCGATCTTGTAATTGCAATGATGCTGTTTAGGTAAGTGAAGGGGACCACTTCTGACAGATTCCTCTCATAGAAAGTGATTCACCTTCATTGTCATACGTTAGTTATCTTCATCGCTTCTATGTTCCCTGTATTGACCTGAATTTCTGTCTTTTCCTCCTCTTCTGCCAGCCTGTCAGTTTCAATTTTGTGAGATTGTGATATATGAGACAGGAATCATCTATAAAGTATATATATATATTGCAGCACTTTTTTGTTGATCTATCGTAGGTTTGTCTTCTCACTCCTCACGGTCTGTCACTTTGTCCAGTTCATCCCAGTCAGGACGATCATCGACGATAGTAGGCAGTCTTTTCTTAATCCTGTCCTCAATTCAAAAGCTTCGCTGAGTTTCCCGTTGTGTATCACTTGACATCTGGTATGATAATATATATAATGGGAAGACGTAGAGCAGGTTGAAGGTGAGGCACCAACTCACCGAAGAAGACAATGAGAAGTGGTTGCGCTATGTCATGAATTAGCAGAAGTTAGAGTTCATGGACTAGCCATTGGGTCTTGTCCCAGTGGCCTAATTGTCTACAAAGTCGCCAGGTACCAAAGGGTCCTGGGTTCCCACTCTCGCAGTGAGTGCGTAGTGATGAAGAGTCCCAAACTAGACTGACGAAACAGCTGTCCAGCACTCCCAACTGGTTTTCCAATGTTTCTCTAACTGATGTTAGCTCATGAAGAAGTCCTCCAACCAATCAAATAAAAACATCCCTACAAAACCAATACTTGAAGGTTTATAAATGTTTGCGGTGCTTACTCCGTAGTGTTGAAGCAGCTATCAAACTGATCTATACAGATAAGGGAAGAAGACTGTCTATTGTCCGAACTATTTCTCCATTATTTGAACAATATAGACTCTATTGGAGAATAAGAGCCACACTGCCTTGTCTTTACACAAACCCATACTAAACAACCCTATGAACGAGGTATATTCATGAACGGTCTTTGTCAAAACTACTTAATTTGTCCAACCAATCATTGTCTGTCCTGATAATCTTTCAACCACAACTCACACTGTAGATATACAGACTATTCATCTGCGTATTAGTCAGATAAACAACTAATAAGAATCCACGACACTTCCAACACCTGTTCTGTACAATATTTCACAATATTTACATTATTGTGACGTTTCTATAACGACCTTAGTTTTGACGCTGTTTTTTTCTTTTTAACCCAGTCCTTAATTAGACAAATTCATTCAGTGTTACAGTTTCAAAATTTAGAACTTTTAGAAGACTGCAACTTTAAAATCGGAATGATATTGAAACGTTTGTCCACAAATATAAATACAAGATACAATAATGTTTACTCGTGTTGTGAACAATACATTACATACAGTAAAAAAAGCAAAAAGGATTAAAAAGGCGATGAGGAAGATAAATCACGATAGCTGATTAAAACAAAACAAGCAAAGTAATTGAGCGAATTGAACAATGGAACAAAGTCAAACATTTCGAGAGGGATATTTTCACCGCCTAATTCAAACTCCTCTTCCTAGTTTAATCAAATAAAGACTGTATACATTCCCGGAATTAGATTTTGAAATCAGCTGTTAAAATTTTCATTCATTTTTCTATATGTTTAAGAAAAATACTTATGAATCGTGAGTAAAATTCAAAAATGGAATTATTTATGTAAAAAAAGAGCATTTACTAAACATTACTAATACTTGTTGTTTGCTGATAAATAGTTGGCTTATCACTGTTATTATCATTATTATCAAAAGTGGATGAGTTGATGATTGAAACACTTGGTGATTGTTCAGATTGTAGACTAGATGGTTGATGATATGATGTTGTATCATTGAAATTATTTGTGAATGTACTCAATGTTGATGGAGATTTTGGTCTTTGTTTATCGATTAGTTGAGTGCATTCATTTAGTAATTGGTATGGTGAAGCATCGAATGTTGTTGGTCGTAGAGGCGGTAGTGGAGGGGCATCTTCGTCGAATGGATCTACAATTGTCTCTGTTACTGATATTCGTTTATCTTTTTCATCTGTCTTTCCTATATCTCCACTATGTTCTTCTTCTTCTTTAATGTCATCCGGTGGGAATGCAGTTGCGTATATCTCTGCACCAGCATATATACCTAAGGGATCACATTCGTCATATTCATCTATAAGTGGACTTGGTTCTAACTTTTTCGAATAAACAGCATTAGATGGCTTGACAATGATTGGTGGATTATTTGAAGTATCTTCATATGTACTATTCATGAAATGTGGATTCAATGGACATGAACTACCATAATTTGATTGGGATGAATTTCTAGGATTGTGATAGTATACAATGGCTCCGTGTTTATCATTCAATTCGACTGCGCGCCTGTTTTGTTAAAAAACAACATGGCATTAAATACCAATATACTATCAAAATAAATATAAGAAAACATAGATCTGAAGTTCAGTGATTGTCATAGCAACTACGGGCATAGATTTTTAGTAATAATTATTTTGTACGATATCTGCCCCTTTAAGTTCTACATTTTCATATACATCCACATTGCATACCTAACCAGATTGTGTAAATTCAATTCATAAGAATTGCTTTTTGTGACAGCCAACCAATTTTCCTCGGAAATAACCATAACTAAAAGAATGGAATGCTGTGTTTTAGTTCAGTTCAACGTGTGAAGTCAGCATGCATTGTCTCAAACTTTCATCGACGAAATTCACCTCTTGTCTGACATACATATAGGCAGAAAAGACATAACTCACTGAAATAGAGGTATGCAAAACCGAGGAGTGTTAAAAAGAGGTAAATGTGTGTCCTGCATTCTAGTGTAAGCCATCATCAACAGCGGACGAGGATTTCGCTCTAAAGTAATCCAGAGATGGAAGATTCCCAATAATAATTTGAACAAATAATCATTCTTAAGTGGTGATTTGTAGGAATCTGTTTCACTTCAAGTTACACAACACAGTGATGTCAGTTGGAGAACAACTAAGCACCGTGGAGTACTGAGAAGGTGTTTCTACCTAGTATCAGACTCTTAGACAACACTGACATCTAATCTGACCAGGAATCAGGCATAGGACCTCCGAGTTATGAAGCAAGTCAGTTGATTATAAAGTCACTGAGATAGGATTCAATGGCTCATGAATTCCTACTACTGCTTGTCTGCAATGCATAGCGTTACCGCCAGCCAATGTTGTCTCCGTGCATTTCTCTTTGCACCAAACTCCGTGGACCACACTGGTTCGATCCTCCCTGATGAAGTATGTGAGCGCTGCTGAGTAGTCCTAAGCTGAGGCAAAACAGACGTCCAGTACACTCTAACAGGATCCAAGGTAATCCATCTCATACTGTCAGAATTACTACTTATGTATAATTGTATGTGCTTTTCGGGATAACGAACCAGAATTGGATAGATTCCAGAATCGATCATCATTGTCTGACAGTTATATCTCATAATTCAAGTCAACTGAAATGCTCTGCAAACTATTTTGGATCATTTTAATCCAATTAGCAAGTGATGTTTGTTGACATGAGTGCTATTACCACTTACTCACATGAGTTAGTAAGTAGTACATTCCACCACGTGTGTCGTTGGCACAGTGGTAGAATGCTCACCAACCACGCATGTGTTCTGGGGTTCAATCCCCTACCAACACGCCCCTATATCTCGCTTAGCCGGTAATAGGACTGGCAAAGTGGGAAGCCTGTAGCTCGAAGCCCTATGTACACTGGGAAAGTAAAGGAATAAAATAAATTTTTCCCTCACACTACTGTATCCCACTTTTGCGTTCGCTATTTATATTATGAGGTTGATAATCTCTTTTGTGATTAAATAGTTAGAAACCACGATGAAGTGCCACATCGAACTCTATGTGTATGCGTTTGTGTGTGTGTGGTGATTTTATCTTAATTACATTCTGAAAGTAATATTCATGATGTACACCTCACATGCGTTGGGGGCACAGCGGTTAGGATGCTCGCCGACCATGCACATGGTCCGGGGTTCGATTCCCGGCCGACGAGCTTCTTTAGCTCACTAAGCCAGAAATAATGCTGGTAAAGAGGGAAGGTTGGGCATGAGGTTAGCAACCTCATCCTGTAAAAATAAAATAATAAACACTGCTACAGAAACTTCAAGCCACTAGTATGAAGCCTTATGTTCCAATGGGGAACGTGAAGGAATATATATATATATATACACCACACATGAAAATTTAGTTCATCAGTAGACTCAGGTGCACTTACTTCCTTCGCATATATTTCCAGACAAAACCAACTGTTAGTAATACGACTATAATGAAGAGAACAATGCCTACAGTCATTAGTGTGAGTAATATCCAGTTGATTTTCTGAGGAGGAAGAAGAGAAAGAAAAGAAAAACAAAAGCAGTAGACATAAAACATAATTGAATGATTTAAATAATTACTGTCCTTTTAAATCAATTCCGCTGGTGTTGTTAGATGACGGAGATTTTATCTGAAGAATTTTGTGATACGCTTGCCCAATACATTACGAACAATCTGATCACAACAATTTATTTCAATAAAGAAAAAAATATCCATTTTGGGATTTAGAAAACAAAAGGATTGAGAGGAGAAACATTTACTTTGCAATTTGATCATCATCTCTTGGTTTACCAATCAAATGGCGATATGTTTGTTAACTATATTTAATCAGTATTAACTTGTCAGGTAGGGGATGATAATTAACAACACGCGAGTTGCATAATGCATAATTTTGGAAAAACGGAGAAAATTCAAGCATTAGTTTTGTAGGGATTTTGTTCGATTGCATGGATGATTTCATCATGAGCTGACATCAATTAAAGAACCACTGGAAATTCATGTGATGGTGACTAGTGACTGGCCCTATTCAGGCAGTTAACCTGGGGTTCTAGTGGGAAGCCGTGACCAGTAGGGTACAGCAGGTTGAAGATGAGGCTGTAACTCATTGAAGAAGACACTGCGAAATAGTGGCGTTATGTCGTGAATTGGCAGAAGTTAGAATCCATGGGCTGGCCATTGGATTGGGTCTCAGTGGCCTAAGGGTTTACGAGCTCGCCTTGTAACCAGAATGTCCTGGGTTAGAACTATGGCGGTGGGTGCGTACTGATGAAGAGTGCAAAACTACGACGAAACAGCTGTCTAGTACTCCCAGGTTTTTCAACGGTTCTCTAACCAATGTCAGCTCATGATGAAATCATCCATGCAAAACAGAGAATAAATAATTCCACTGTGAAATTTATTTTGATAAAGTCCAACATTGTTATAAGGTAATATTTACTGGTGACCAAGTTTCGAGCACAAATTGTTGCCGCTCATAATCATACCAAGATACTCACACAATTTTTTAACTTTGTTTATATAATTCTATGTTTTTCCACCACTTGATTTGATTGGTAGTAGTATTTTCCATATTTCTGGTATGAGTGGTGAGTCGTACCTATTGTACATGTTGGGTATAGGTTCTAGAAAATCTTTGTCTTTATACTGATACTGACCAGAGACTGACGTATTAACGTAGTGAGTAACATTAACCGTTGATACATTTGCTAATCACCATTTTAAAGAAAGACAGGTAGATAGATAGAAAGATAGACTAACAAGAAGACTGACTGACGACTAGGGTAGATAAACGAAGATGCCTGTTATGAAGTAAGAAAAAGTCGACCTGTCGTCTAAATCTACACCGTCTTGTGACAGGAAATAAAATGAAACAATTGAAACTATCTAGTGGATTCTCTTAAGTGAAGTATATATGACATACGAATTCCGGAACAGTTAAGCACCACGTACATTCCTGTCTACCTATTGGCATACATAACTGCCAGAAGTCGAATGCAAGAGGTATTAAACTGAAGAAGTGGATTAGGTCCTTTCGTCACAAACTTTGTCGAAAACAATTTCGCGTAGTAAAATTAGTTAAGCTAACACGTTTCACTTTTGAAATAATTCAGAAGGTTTTTAGTCCAGGTAGATGATACTGGTGTAATTGTCTTTTCTAAGATGATTGGTGTACTTGTAAAGCTTTCATTATTCTTCTCCTTAGACAATATCTTCAGCAAAACTTCTATATGAATTGAAATTGTAGAATTCGCCATGCTTTTACTAGCAGTGACCTTAAACGTGAATGGTTGTTTCCGGGTAATTTTCCAAACTTTTGTCCACTTATATTCGTATCGATTATTCTGTTAAACTTATGGTTGGCCTTTTTTCCAAGCGGCTACCTTTCTTACTGTTTGATAATTGTGATATGCTAATATCATCTGTTTGTTTCAGTGTGTTTATTGATGACAGATTCGCTTGAATACCAGGCTTACAGGGGAACTGTGACTTTTCTGGAATTGCTTCTATTCACATTGAAGTCTTTTCTCAGGATGTTGCCTATAATAACAATAAAAGCTCCACAGATAAACTATTCACTTGAGAAAGTATAACTGCGCCAGTACTTCACCCTTTGGGGGAATTTAAGTTCCCAAAGAAGAGTTTGCATGCATCATGTGATGAGTTGTATGTCAAGTATAAGACGTTACTTATCTTATAGCTACAATTACTCTGTTAGATGACTGCTAGTTGCTTAGTCACACTACGTATTATGTGTGATTAATCATTGAAACAATTTCTCTGGACAAGAACTTCTCTCCAACGTGTCTTTTTCGTCTGTGGTATTCTTCAGCGTGGACTAGGTCTGGGATTTTCACAAATAGTCACCTTCTCTTAAAGGTTCCAAATAAAACCTTGAGTAATAATGTATTACTTGACTGATTATTTTGGTATTAATAACTCTGGCTTAAGCAAGTTTACCAGATGAGCGAAAATTTATTCCCTCAAGGTTACATGTGAATCTTGACGGTGAATACCAAGAACTGGGGAACATTATTCAAGTGTTCAACTCAAGACTGTGCTATTTCCCTATGTTCAGACGATTAACGTCATTAGGGGTTGAATATTGCACAGTGAATTGAATGAAAGGCTTGTGAGTTACTTACGCCTTCATCTATTGACCTGCGTCTATAGTGTCTCCATAAAATTTCTAAGGACAAATGTCATTTTCAGTGTGTTTTCAGAACAAGAACTAAAACTTAGGTTTTGTTCCTACTCATAAAGAGTTTTCAAAATCGTGTAGTGGAAAACGCACACATGCACACACGCCTCTGTGCAGATAACCAAATGTTTCGATGCATGTTGACAGTAACGTACAGTATAAGAGTAAAACTTCGGCACTGTGGTAGAGTGTAACTCCATTATGAATAAAACTTTATTTTGACAAAATCACACAGTATTATGCAACAATATTTACTGATGACGTTTCGAGCACAAATTATTGCTCATAATTACATCAAGGCACTCACACTTTGATATGATTTACAAATCTGAATCTAAATAACATATGTGAAACATTCCTTATTTACGTCTGTATTTTCCCACTGATATGTCTGACCGAATTCAGCAGCTTTAATTCGATGGATAGGCTCCCTGAACAGATCTTTGGATGTTCCTAGGATTACTAATCCGGAGTGAGTTGAGTGATAGTGGACAGCAGAATTGCCTCCCATCTTACTTTGGACTCACAGCCTGTATGTGCATTCTTCTCAGTGAGTAATGGCACTACCCTGGTGATTTGTATCAAACGTTAAAACGTCACTTGCTAAATCACTAGTTCGTAATAGTCACGTCTTGTGCAACAAGCATTAGCTGAAATAATTTTCTCAAAGATTTAGAGTAGCGTACACTATTTCTTTGGAGTTAAAACATGACGCCTGCCCACTATCGTGTATGGAAGAAGAACAAATTTAAATAAGTGTCAAAAGCCTCCTTCCAATTCAAAAAAACAGCAAAGTATTTTGGATGCGAGTAGTTGGAACTCTCTTCGATAGTCCAATGAAGTGGTAACCCACAGGCTGTTACCTTCTTATGGGCTTTTTATTACTGGGATTCAGTTATTTAACTGGAGTATGTTAAAATCTGGGCTAATTAACACAGTACTTTTCGAAGACAGTTATATACAGTCTCATAGAACCAATAGAAATGCAGACCGTTTCCAATCATATTTATATGTCAGAGGCGACATTTCACCAATCCATAGCCTCTAATTGTCTCTCATTTCTATGAGTGCTTACATAAGTCATGGGTTTTCGAACTTGATTAGCGATTACAGAGTACAGTTACTACCAAAATACCTAAGAATTCAGTGTGTAATATTCTTAGTTACACTGAAATAAATGTTGACCAATAAGAAACGTCACTGAATATCCACGTGTGAAAACACCCTTTATTGGGCTACACCTACAATGCATGAGCTGGTGACATTGAAGAATAGGTGTAATGGCGTCGAACCCTGTGAATGTCTGTTTGGAAGTTGAATCCTTCCCTCAGAGACCTACATGGACACTCAACTAGTAGATCTATTGAAATGTAAAAACAAATAGAATAAATTCAAGTATTGGTTTGTAGGAATCTGACTCATTGGTTACAGGATTTCATCATGAGCTGGCATTGTTTAGAGAACCATTGGAAAACCTGGGAGTACTGGACAGCTGTTCGTCCTAGTTTCACACTGTTCATCAGTACGCACCCACCGCCACGGCTCGAACTCAGGAATCTCTGGTTACTAATGTCAACTCATGACGAAGTCTTCCAACCAATCAATCGAATCCCCACAAACCCATACTTGAATGTAGATGGCAACTGACTCTATTCAGATAGGTAGTTACCTTGGATTCTAGTGGAAAGTCGTGACTAGCAGGGAGCAGCAGGTTGGGAGTGAGAACAAATACTCGCCGAGGACAATGGCTAGCGGTCGTGCTGTGCCATGAATTGGCAAAAGTTAGGATTCATGGGCTGGCCATTGGATTGGCTCCCAGTGGCTTAAGGGTCTACGAGCTCGCCTTGTAACCAGAATGTCCTGGGTTCAAACCGTGGTGGTGGGTGCGTACTGATGAACAGTGCGAAACTAGGACGAAACAGTCGTCTAGTATTCCCAGGTTTTCCAATGGTTCTGTAACCAGTGTCAGCTCACGATGAAATCCTGTAACCAAATAGAATAAATGTCGAATATTATTACTGATTTACTCCTTACTTACCGAAGATACCACTTCCAAAGGCAACTCACATCTATCACCTGTCCATTCAGGTAAGCATACACATCTAACTTCAAATTTTATTGGGTGTTCAAAACATGTTCCACCATTTAAACAAACTGAAGGCAAATCAGTGCTATTAGCATCATATCCAGTCGACTGGTTTTCATAATGTTGAATTTTTAAGGCTTCTTCTAGACACGCTGACCGTCTCTCAGTACATCGATGTCCAGTCCATTGTTCAGTACACTGACATGTAAAACTTTTATTATATTGTCCGCTAAGTTCACATTCACCGCCATTTTGGCAAGGATTTGACTGGCACGGATTATAGTCTGGGTAACATTCTGGTCCTGTGAAAATAAAAGTTAATCAAAAAGGAATAAAAATCAGTCGCCATGAAAATTCCTTAAGCCTGGCATCTTTTCAGTTACCTATTCACAATAAATAGTTGAATATGTATCGAAATGAGCATAGAGCATTAAAAAAGCTGCCTAAATCAAATCCTAGCTGTCTGCTTTAATAGTTAAGCTACATGATTCCCCACGGAGTTCAATGCACCAAATTTACTAATTCATACTTTGTTTTAACAATCTAATTGTCTTCTCGAAGAACAATCTGTATTCACATACATTTTTGAATGGTTTTCAACAACCATTTATTATTATATCCTTTAATTCCTGGAGGAACATAGGGCTTCAGCTGCACACCTCCATTGCCTTCTGTTTTCTGGCAACTTTTTCACCTCGCTCCAAGTCTGCCCACATGCTTTCATCTCCTCCTCACATGACCTCCTCCAAGTCACCCTTGGACGACCGACTCGCCGCCTCCCTTTCGAATTCCACTCGAGGGCTTGTCTAGTGATGTCACTTGATGGTTTCCTCAGCGTATGGCCAATCCATCTCCATTTCTTCCTGCCTATTTGTTTCACAATCGGTTCCTGATTGGTTCGCTCCCAGAGATCTTTGTTGCTGATCTTTTTTGACTGGCCATCTGATATTGAGTATTGAGCAAAGACAACTGTTGATGAAGGTCTGAAGTTTGTTTGAGATGCTTTTTATGACGCGCCAAGTCTCTGATCCGTAACAAACCATTTACAGTTTGCAAATTAGTTCGCAATTTTCATAGTTTGAGGTGTTTATTTCATCATATTTTCCTCTGGAATTAATTTGTGCATTTGCGAACTAGTTTGTACATTGTGAATCTGGTTTGTGATATCACCAGTTGGCCCAAGTAGCTAGGCAGAAAACGAATGGTTTGAGCTGATTCGACTCTCTGATCTAAGTCAAACTGGGTAAACCATTGATGAGTTGAACTTCAAACAATTGCAAAGGTCGTTAAGTATTTGTATGATTTCGATCTGGCTAACAAACACCACTGGATGACGTGAGTAGTATACAACAATTAATCATCTCAAGTAATCAGTAGTATGCAACGCGGTGCATTTCAACAACATTGCTTGGTCTGTTTTGAAGGGAAAAACAAGCTGACAATTGCAGAACTCTGTATACAGAGCGAAATTCCGTCGAATGACATATACCGTAGACTGATATTTTAAAAGAAGATTCGGCGGCCTACTTGAATCTCTGGGGTACTTAAATTTCAATCCGAGATGATGTATCTTATTATGTCTAGTTCTCTTTGTTTTAGTTATTCGATTCTGTTAGTTGTTCGGCAAGTATCTACCATTACCAAATCACATGATGTACTGGAGATGGCAGTTTTAATGGAAACTCCTGGATGAAGAGAAGATGATACGCCATAAACTATGCTGAAAATTATGCATATTCTGTAAACTTATTGTATATAATATAGCTGTTGTTATCATTACTATTATTAAAAAAACCAAGCTGAAAATTCCGTACTGTATATAAACATGTCCGAAATAAAGCTTTCATTATTATGTATGAGTGTAAATATTCTTTTTGGAGAGCAACTAAGTTCCCTGGGTTTTATCTAGTAAGTTTGCCATTCAAAAATGTGGTTAATATACCTGAAGTCATCAGTCTCAGAGAAGACAACCCTGTAAGAAGGACGTATTATGCTACAAAGCTCATCTATTGAATCACTGTCAAAAGGTTGGTACAAACAAAATATATTGGGGGAAGCCACATAGCTAAGTCTACTTCCATTATAAATTCAGTTTACCAATATATGAAAATATTTTAATAAAAGTAAATACAAAGCTTGTAACGTCACACAAACTCAAAGGTTAATAGGTGAAAGCCAACAACGTGGCATAAGAAGCAGTCAGCGAAAACGAGGTGATGAAGATACCTAACCTACAGTAACAAGTGCCAGTCGTTATCTCGGGGTGAAATCGAGAAGAAATCCCTCCTTCCACTTGTCTAGGCGGTATCGTCCCAGATACAGGGAGGTGGCACGAATAAGGACGTCAAAGTTGACCAGGGTAGCAATAACAAGCCAGTTCTCCATTAATTCGGAATAAATGTGAGATTCTGAGCACATTAAACATAAATAACAAGATAAGGATTTTCAATACTGATGTCAAGCTAGTTCTTCCATTATGTCTTGAGACTAAGCACATCATCGAAAACATTTCCAACAGGGTGTTGCAGATTTTCATGTACTGAGGATTAGATGGCCAGGAGAGAATGGCAACAAAAACTCTGGGAGTGAAACAACCAAGATCGTATTGCCCAACCAAGAAATAGGCAGAAAGAAACGGAGATGGGTTGAACACACTCAAAAGAGACCTTCTGAGTGACAACACACGCCACACACTCGAGTGGAAGACAAATGGGAAACGACAAGTTCAGTGTCCGATTGTAACATGGAGGAAATCACTTGCGGCGGAGATAAGAGCCTAGGTGCAATTAGGGAGACAACTCAAAGAGACTGTATCAAACAGAGTGAAATGAAGATATGCTGTTGAAGCCCTATGTTTCATTCGGAACCTATGGGGATAATGATAATGATAATATTATATACTTTGACCTTTTTACTCACCAACTTAAATCGTAGGATCACGTAATACTTTGGCATTAATTGCATTGACATTTTTATGAGCCTGTATGTGGCGTATTCAATTGAAGTGTTCTACCAGAATTAATAAATCCATTCAATACTGTCTTATCGACAGTCTCAATGTAGAGTTTGTCACAAATGATTAAATCGATCAGAGAAGTGAAGAAGCCTATGGAACGTTGTTAGACACATTTGTCATTTCAGTGTAGAACTCTTCAGTTCAGTGTGCACTCACAGTTCCATTAGAGGTCGAGTACAAGACCTTTAACTCGTGAGCCAAATGCATTCACCGCTTCAGTAAATATCCATCAGCGATTTATCACTAGTGACAACCAATGTCTTCAGCAAGTATCGATCTTCACACACAACATTGTGATGAAATGTATTCAAAATCCATAGGAAACCAAAATTGTGATGTTTGGTAATCAGTGTTTGTTTAAAATTGTTTTCCTCTAGGAAAAGTCTCCATATGAACACAATGACTTACTCACGGACAACTTTAATCCATAAACATGTGACGATCATCACGCTATTAGCTCAATTCATTTTTTAAAACAAAAACTTTTCAAACGTCTATCTTTCCTTCCATTTGTTAATTTCAGTGATTCTTTTTATCAAATAGTTTTAATTCAAAACTATGTTTTATGATTTCAATTAAACCAGATTTATCATTGATGCGTATATTTTAGCCATGAGAACATACACAGAGACAAAAGTTTTGAGTTTCGTTCACTTGCTACATATAATTCACAGACACATTTTTTTTCTTCTGTTAATGAGCACACCTGTTGAGAAATGAATTTATTTCCCAGAAAACTCATCACACAACAGTAGGACAATTTAATGCTAGTGACGAAAATCAATATATGTATATGGTGAGTTGAATTATTTGAAATGAAATTAGTTTTTCAACTATTAGATGTCATCACGAACCAACATAAGTTAAAGATCAATAAACACAGGAGAACACTGGGTAGCTATGATCCAAAAGGTCTTGGGTTCGATTCCCGGTGAAGCCTTGAGTGATCACCAGTATGAAATAGCTTTCCAGTGTTCCCTGGTCTTCAGTATTCTCTAACGGATGTTGGTCTCTGATGAAATTTATCAATTGAAATTAACCCGAAATCCCCATGAATCCCATTAACCGAAATTGATTTCTGTTAACAGTGCTGATAATGAAGTTACAGAATAATAAACGACAGATGACCTTGAGCGATCAGTCAGATTGGGTGCATGTAAAGACTTGCATATTTCGTGTCCCAAGATGCGATCGGTGCAACGGTCAATTTCAGGGCATTTATGTTCTCTGCGCTAGATGCTTTAATGGAGAATCTTTCATTGTGAATCTAGACCACATACTTCAATGTGAAGCGAAACACTTCTTAGCAATCCCGGAGAATTTCTAGATGCCCGGTACTTAAAAGAATCTAATAGTAACAACCACATTAAAATAGATCAGATTTTCCAGACAGCAAAATGTGAGTCACGTGGACTATGGTCAACACTCAGGCCTACGAAATAATCTACATGTATGCAGGTGGAGAGTCGAGTGTAAATATCTCTAGAAAAAGTCAGTCGCATCCAGCATCACTTGAAAAGGCGGCTAATATAGTCTTAGAAAACTTTGAAGACTTACTTTATATTGAGGTCAGAGTTGAATACGTTGTCTAGAAAAGGGTAATGAAAGCGTTGCCATTAAACCATGCAACTTAAACAAATCAACTACACTAATGTCTACCTCAGCTACAAATTTCCCCCATTTTTCGTAGATTTGTTGAAGAACTTTAGATTTATATGTTTAAAATGTTTAACAGAAACGAGGTTCAGTTGCATTCTGGGACATGAAACGATGGTAATGGTGATTCCATTGACACCCTAACCAAACAAGGTTGTGGCACAGGGTATTATGTCACAACAGGCCATATTTACTACGATGCATATCACTTTCCTCTAAGAAAGGATAACACTTACTATGGCTGAAATGAGGAGAATGTGCTGGCATAAATGATATGATTTCAAGTGTTTCTGATTTCCCCGTTGATTGGTTGAATCGAATGGTTTGGTCTATGTTAATATGCCACCTCATAATGCAAGCGCTTCAATGATGTCTGAGGATCAGTAATGGTGTCATTTGGTGGATGATAACTTGCAGTAGAATCAAGAATGCACATTTTGTCCTGTTTAGGACTTGTCAGCTAGATGTATCTGAATTCCTCAGTGATAACTCATAGGGGTTCGAAACTATGGATGTTAGATTCAAGTCTCGGGGGAAAAACAGTCACCCACTGGGAAATACAGGTATAACCAGATGATGAGTCTCAAATAGGACGAAAAGCACACCCTTTATTCCATCGCTAGTTACCATCCACTAAATAACTTCAAGACGTATCAAGCTGTCCAACTGGTACTTAGTTTTTCGAAGACAAACACACATTTATGCGACCAAGTTAGTTAGTAAAATAGGAACTCACTTTCTTCTCCACCACAAACACAAATACGCCCGGATTCATTGTCTTTATTAACACAAGTAGCATGATCAGCGCATGGTTCATAGTAACATGAATCTTCTTTATCACAGTTTGTCCCTCTTAGACCTAAAAGGATTACAAAAGGAAGCATAATTGTTGAGAAGTTTCAAAAAACAAAATACATGAAAATACAATTACGAAATATGTAATTCTTTGGACACAAGATATTGTACCGTCGAATATGTAAGGTTTCATGCAGTACCTCAAGCAGTACAGCGTTACTCACTAATTTGAATCTAACTGAACTTCCAAAAATGTGGAATTCCAAACATAAGTGTAGCGGTTTAAAGTACCAAACTTTATAATAGTGCACAGAAATATAAGGAAAAGTAAGGTACCCTAAATATCCACTTTTCTTTCAACAATGAGATATACAGACAAAAGGATGGTACACCTATGGGTTCACCACAAGGACCGTTACTTGAACACTTGTTCATATCAAGACATGAAAACACATACTTAAAGAAGATGGTACACAGCTTTTGGTCTTACAAGAGATAAGTGGATGAGGCTTTCACCATCTCCAATAATGAAGAGGATTCGGAAGAAATCGTGGAATTTCTCAGGAGCTGCCACCCTCTATTCCAGTTCACATAAGAAAAGAAGTCCTACTCAAAAATATATTCTCTGGATATTCAACCAATTAGATGTGAACAAGATGTAATACCGAAAAAATTCACTCACAAAAAGCCGACAAGGAACGGAAAAACCACTGACTTCCATAGTTGGGTGCCTCTATATATAAAACTATAGACGATCCGTTTATTCAGCCACAGAATTCACAACGTTTACAGCTCTGAAACCATGAAAGAGGAGCTTAACACCCTAAAAAGTATTCTCAGTGAAAGCAATTACCCCGAACACCTCATCACAAACTCCCTGAACCCTACGCGTCCAAAGACCATGCATACTTTCTGCCCTTAAATAACTTTCCTATCTAAATCAGTGATTCGACGAAGACTCATCATCAGAAATACTGAATGGCTGCCTATCCAGCTCATTGAAAAATACCCTCTTTGCAGATGAGTTTTGACTTAATTTCTATACTAAACCGATGATTGACATGAAGGTGAAGGATAAGCTACCACAGCCGGCCTCTTCACTGTGTATCTAGCAATTATTCTGCTCTTGTAGATTTATGCATGTCAGCCGTTCTGGGTGTTTGCTATCCAAAGGTATCACTGAACATCTATTTGCGTAGTCATATAAAGAAGAAACGAGATCACCCTTAGCTGTGTGCTGGACCTTGGCGGCCTGTTCGAGTTTTTGGGCCAGCTACTATAATATCTACATTTTGCATCCAGTCTACTGTTTACCAACATTTATTTATCACCTAAATATGAATTCTAACAGAATCATTTACTCTCGTAACTTTATTAATCATTTACGACCAAATGACTTTCATATTCCAAAGAAACCAAGGAAGAAACATCGTAGTGGTTGGCAGAGAGCTCTCAAACGTACACCAATACACTTAACTACGGTCCCCGTCATAATGAACACAAACTGTCGCTCTCTGCCAAACAAGATAATGTACCTACAATCCTTGATGTCAACTGATACGTATCATAACACCGCCATAATTGCATTACAAGAAACGTGGTTGCATGAACTGTATGATGACAACCTTATCTCACTAAAGGACTTTATTTTATTTCGTCAAGACCGTCAATGTTGTAATAAGAAAAATGGTGGTGGCGTTGCAACTTTTATTCACTCCAAATGGTCTGTCTCAAATAACGTCTGCTTCACCTTCTCAAATGACTTCATTGACTGTATTACTGTCAAATGTCGCCCCAAACATCTCCCCAAATATAAACAAATCTATATTACAAACATGTACATTTCTCCTAGTTGCTCTCCATCTGATCTATCTAATTTTGCTGATGAATTCACCATGTTTGCTGCTGCCAACTTCGACAACTCTCTATCCGTTATTACTGGAGACTTCAACACCTCAGATTGCTCCTTTCTTGAAGCTCTTGGTCACACAAACATAGTCAAATTTCCCACTCGACTTGACAAAACACTCGATCTAGTTTTTACTAATGACGAAGGAGTATATGAAACACGTAGACGTTCACCGATACTAACTCCGATCACTGCATTGTCCGCGTTTTGCCAAAAATATACAGCAAAACACATATTAAAATCTTCTCACACCTGTCTACGAAAGCACAACAAAGATGCTACACATCTGACAACCTACTCAATCTAAGATGCATGTTAAAAGATACTAACTGGGATCTATTCTATGAAAGTACATTAGATGACTCAATCACCAATATAATGGATTATCTTAAGTTCTGCCTCGACATATGCTGTCCCAAACAAACACTGTTCAAACGCCTCGACCGCTTCTCGTCTCCCCATCTCAAACAACTTCGCAGGCAAAAAGAAATGTTATATAAATGCAAAGACAAGTTAGGACTTAAAAAGATTAATGCTCAAATCAAATCTGAAATCAAAAATCTTAATGCTATCTATAACCAAACACTTTTATCATGCAAATCTCCTAACAGCATGTGGAAATTTTTCAATGAAATTACTGGCAATAGTAAGCGATGTAATGTTTTTCCCTCTTGTGATGTTAATGCTCTTAATCTGTCTTTTATACGCTCTCCTTCTACTATAACCACTTCTAACGTTACTAATCTTGTAGCTGATAACTTCCAGGACTTTAACACTCTCGATGTTTTGAAATGTCTTAAAACTCTTAAGCCCTCACATAGTCTTGGCCCTGATGGCATACCTGCATATGTTCTAAAACAATGTGCAGATGCTTTATGTTCTCCTCTAACTAATATCCTAAATGCTTCTTTCTCCGAAAACGTTGTACCTGTTCCATGGAAAGACATTAAAATAGTCCCTGTCCCTAAACCTGGCAATAGCAAGAACGTAAAGTTCAGACCCATTGCCATCACTTCCCCGTTTCTAAAGCTCATGGAAAAACTAGTACTTCTTAAACTCGAACCCTCCCTTAAAAGCTTCGAAGACCCCAAACAATTTGCCTACAGACAGGGTAGGAGTACTTTAGACGCTGCAGCCGTCTTACACAACAGTATTGTCTCATCATTAGACAAAGGTGCCAAATATGTCCGCTGCACGTTTCTTGACTTCACTTCTGCTTTCGACTCTGTACCTAGATGTCTCTTGCTAAATAAGCTCTCCATGACACAAACCGAGTCCTGGGTCACTAACTGGTTGCATTCCTACTTTTCAAACAGAATGCAGTACACCGTATACAAAGGCGAATCCTCCTCTGCTGTGCTCACTGAAGCTGGTGTCCCCCAAGGTGCTGTACTCTCCCCACTTCTCTTTTCTTCTTTCTACATGACCTACCATCTTCAAATGACATTAACTTTGTCAAATATGCTGATGACCTAACTGTATCTTTACCTGTCAAATGTCAAAGTGACTGCTCTAAACTAAATGGCTTCTTATCCGAAATCAGCCAATGGTCCAAGGAAAACGGTCTCACCTTAAACCCCTCCAAATGCCAAACAGTTAATTTCACCTTTAGGCACAAATCTGACCTAAACAAACTGGTTAGCACTCACGAGGTGTGCAACATAGATGGCACTGAAATTGAAACCAAGTCGGAAATTAAATACCTAGGCGTCACTCTATCTTCTGATCTTTCCTGGTCGTCTCATATCTTGACGATTTCCAAGAAAATATTCCGTCTTACCTTCTACATCAAGAAGTTAAGACATTCTGGTGTAACCCAACCCTTACTCCTACAATTTGTTAACTCCCGTATTCTGCCTATTATTCTCTATTGTTCTCCCTTAGTCTTTCCTGGGCTATTGAAGAAAGACTATACCTTATTACGTAGGATGTTAAAGGTTGTCAGCAGGGTAAGCAATTTGCCACTTAGCCAGCTTGTTAATATTCTGGTGGACAGGCATATGGACTCATGTGAAAAATGGGCGAAATCCATTTTATCTGACTCACAACACCCTCTACATTCACAACTCTCCCCATGTATCTCTTCAGGGAAAACCAGAAGCCTATATAGTAAGTACAAAAACTCATCCATACCCTACCTAGCTCGTGTTCTGTGCGATAAAGAAAGCATTAGGCGTGAAACCTTTAACTTATTAAATAGTCAGTAGAACAATGGATCTCGTCTTTCCAACTCACATCATTTACAGGTACAACGTTTTTTCTCTCTACTTTTTTTTTCTGTATTTATTTTTGTTATGTGCTGTTTTGTTTCTCTCTTCCTTACAAACTCTACTTAAAACATTCTTGTTCGTTCTTTCACACTCTGTATATCTCGACCATTTTGCTATCGCTTACGCCAGTAAATATGCTAGTAGTATCTACTTTTCTAACACCTTCAAACACTCTGTTTTAAATTTTGGCTTTGCTACCGACATGCTAATATTTTGTTATCAAAACTGACTGAGATAACTTTAATCTATGTAGAACTTTATTTATTGTTAATGTACTAACTGGATGCAATATTGTAGAAAAATGCTGAGAATTCCATTCTGTATCACAAGTACTGTTTTGGAATAAAGCTATTATCTTATCTTAACATCGGATGACTCTGCATAACAAGCTAACTAGCAAACCAACTTTCAAGTCATCCACAGAATACGAGGGATTCTTGCTGAAGGAGTACGAATCAAACTTCTTCAAACAGCAGAAACGGTGGCTGTTTACATTTTAAATTTCGAAATATTCATACAGAAATTTGTTCAGTCAGTATATCTACAATGGATCTGGTCGTTCTTAACACCAGATATGTGTTTCTTTTGAATTTTTAATTATACTTGTTTCTTCCCCCCACGTTGTTACATCTTTACGCCTATATCATTACTGTTCATAACTTCACTCTCTTTCAGTACTAGGGAAGTTCCACTCAATCCTACCAATTAGATTACGTAATGCAATTTACTTATTTAATTTTATTTCAGTTTCTGCCCAGCTAACGCCTTCTGTATTTCGTCATCCGAAATTCAAAGTTCTAATAACGCATCTTTGAAAATATTCATTTTGTTGCTAAGAAAATTTACTGCATATATATATATATATACGTATATATATAGGATTCTTCGCTGAACTTTTTCTTTTATATACTTACCTAATAATGAAACCAGTGATACAATCTCGCTTAGTGATGATATTCTGAGTCCAGTTTATTGCTCATATTCATATTAAGGCCCTCAGATAACTACCAGTTTGATGAAAGATTCAAAGCTACTGGCTTAGTATTCTGTTGAACAGTCATTCATCTAAGGTCACTTCAGAGTGCAATGTGATGGCGGCTCATTTAACTTGATAACTACCCTACACACTTGGCCGATAGAAATCAGTTAAACTAAGAACTAAACAAAAAGCAGTGATAACTTCTCTAGTAAACAACCAGTGTATCCAGCATTATCCGACATAAGGGGAGGTAAGGTCTCAGACTTCAGCAGGGATTGATGTTTGTTTGAATCTGACGAAGGGGAGGGGGAAATCAGTTACTTCGTGGTCTCATATACACTGACAGTGACAAGTCTGTGTTTTCGAGGGACAAAGACACAGTTTCATCCTCCTCGATTCTGCCGAAGCAGTGGCTATCAAATGCCTGAAACTCAATTTGTGTGTTCAGAAAGAAACAGTTATCAGTCTTTCTCTGCCAGGGTAACTGGATGCTTTTACTCTCTCTTATACATTTGAGTACGTAATGTTTCGCTTCGATGTCTCATCTCTTAGATACAGTGTAACCCAGCCTGAGTCATGTTTCTGTGTTAAGAGTTGAACTGACCACATTACTATTCAATTTATTAGTTACTCATGATCTTATTCACCTTTTGTCTTCAATACGCAACTCTCTTAACACTGCATCCAAGCATTCATTTTCCGTTTGAACCTGAACCTTACTTGGACAAGTGTTCATTAGTGAAATTTCTGAACAGTGATTATTAAGTTTGAAGTCTCCCGTCAACTGAAATCATGTCATTTATGCAAGTACTTCAAAACTGCTCTATACATAAACTTAATAATTTCTTCAGGCTGTACTCAGCTGTTGAAAAGCTGATGGAATAAATGATGGTACCATCTTATTATACACAAACCTTTGTCCCTACTTTGTTGGAAAAGTAATATAGTTAGTGGTCATTGAATCAAATCTACATATAACAAATGCTATAGAAATGAAGCGACAATAAATTGTTTACTTTCATCGAATAAATGTATTACATGAAGGGATTATACTCTATCATACTGACCAAGTTCTATTCATATTTCAAAAAGCAATAAATGGAAATGCGTTAGAGAAAGAATTACAATATGAAAAATAAAAGGGATTCCCGGGATCTAGAAAATCATATGAAATGACTGCATCTGTAATATAAAGAACAATTCTCAACCATGTCAATAACAACCTCCAGTCATTGGTCTTTAGCGTCTCCACTATTCCAGCGGTCCACAAAACAAAATGTATACTTCGGTTTTTGAAATCGTACAGTTTAATGAAACACAATATAATAGAATGACCAGACTAGGTTTACTGTTATCAGTCCTTTAATAATAGAGTGCTTACCAGCTGTTTGGAAGTTCTGAGTTCGATTCTTTACTGTCGCATTCTTAAAGTGCCTAGTAAAATAGCCGGTAGTAAGCCTGGAAAGGAGCAGAGGTTGGACGTGAAGCTAGCCAACCCATCCCATAAAATAACACCACTGTCACTTCAACTTTGGAGTCTAGAAATAAAAGAGGAGCTGGTTGTTGCCAGACTCCTTTCAGTCCTTTACCTTCGAAGATGAAATGTATTCACAGCCTGGTATAAATGATATCCGTTAATAAACATTTTATTTAATTTTCAAGTACTGATTTCCAGGGATTTGATTGGCTATTGGTTTGATTACGAGCTGCTATTGATTAGAGAAATCACAGAGTTCTGAACAGCTGTTTCATTCTAGTTTGGGACTCTTATGCAATATGCATCCAACGCCAGTGTTGGAACTTAGGACCTTCCAGTTACTAGGAGATCATGTAGACCATTGAACCCTTGGGACCCTATCCAATGGCCCGTAAGCTCCAACTTCTGCCAATTCATGACATATATATATATATGACTGTCCTTTAACTTGACTTGGTAAACCCCTCTGGTCACAACAACCTATGAAGGCTTTATCCATCTGAATTACGAATAGAGGTATATGGAGAATTTTCAGCTACATTCAGTAAATCTATGTTGAAGTCCATCGAATTCTCACAAACTCCGATAAATAAAAACTTATCCATTGCTTTTTATTAAATGGCTATGGGATAAGCCTCCTACAGTTTTAATGAGTAGTAGTAAATGTTTTGAGGTTTGCGAAGTCAGATGTCACGACAGTTGCTCGTAGATCAAATTGAGTGGAAGGCGGAATTATACAGAAAACTGACAAAAATTTATTCTTTTTCGCATTGACTCAGTGGCTGACTGAGTTATCAACTCGTAACGGAATAAGTGCTTGCAGAATCGCTCCTGAACGATCTGCTTACAGTGCTTATACTTATTTGGACAATTCAACTAACTTGGTTATTATTATCCTCTATTCCAGTAGGCTGTATATCTTTGTTCCAACGTGTACATGTTACTTTCTGACTTAGTCTTTATTTTTATAGTTTGGTTTGTAAGGATTAGTTATGTTTTACGAGTTGATCACGGATTGATATCAGATAGAGAATTTTGATATTGGACTAGCTGTGCTAAGTGTATCTGATTCTCGCCAACAGAGTTTTGATCCCAACATGTTGGAAATACGCTGTTTGACTGTCGGATATATTCTAGGCTTGTTCTGGTTAACTGATATCTCTGTACTGTACATGTTTTGTACTTGGAAATTTGCTGGACTCTATAGCTGTCTAACGATATTGTTGAGATCATTTTTTTTAATTAATTAATTTTTTTTTTTTTGATTACAACTTCATTCCACACTGTATTTTTGGTACAAGTATAGAATTTCCAGCATGGATATCGGTAGCCCGAATTTCGCAGGCCGACCATAGATATCAGGTGTGCGTCGGCGTGGGCTCGAACCCCGGACCATGTGCATGGTTGGCGAGAGTCCTAACCACTGTGCCACCGACGCAGTGGCATATGTCCAGACCAAGTTCACTTTTAATAGTTTGAAAAATTTAGGCATTTTGGTATGTGATATTCATTATAATAAATGTTCTTTGTATTTCTCAAAACAAAACGATATTGTTTTTACTGACGTTTCACTATATAATGCTAATAGCTTTATCGAAGTATTATTAAACCAGAATATACAAAATCTCAGCTCTTATATATAACAACTTAATCATCGTTCCTCAGCATTGGGGCATTTTTGTGTTGTCAAGTTGGCCAATTGGTAAAGATAACAAAACTTATTCCGAAAACATGGACTTCAACAGTTGTCATTCCATATAGAGCAGATATGTCAGACGATATCAGAAGAATACTCAATAAACATGACATAAGAGTTTTCTTCAAAACATCAGACACTCACACTACAAAGCAACTTTGTCCATATAAAAGACCAAATCCCCAAAGATTCTCTAATTGTATCTATAAAATAAAATGCTTGCTTGGAATTTGATGCCATATACATTGGACAAACATCTCGAGAAATCAAAATCAAAAGAAGTGAACACTGTAAAGCATCTGTTTGACCACCGAAAAATCCAGTTGAAATGGAAAACCTTGAAAAATCATTAGACATACGTCCACATGCTATTGAATCAATGGACAAAATTGATTTTGACACTATTGAAATAATCCAGAAAAAGCATTTCAGAAATCACAAAGAACGTCTTATGTCATCAGAAGCACTTCATATCAAATGAAATCCAAATTATCTGAATAGGAATGATGAATTGAAACAGAATTTGATCTGGTTACAACAGTCCTCCCTCAAACCTCCATGAAATGACAAAATCAACACGGATGTGATAAGCAATTTCATTATGTAAACACATGCTGCCTTTACAATCATATACACTTATCGAATCCAACAGTCTACACCTGATTTTGTTATCTTTACCAGTCGACCAAATAGACCACGCAAAAATGACCCCATGCTGAAGAATGATGATTAAGTTGTTATATATAAGCTGGGATTTTGTGTATTCTGGTTTAATAATACTTTGATAAATCTATTAGCATTAAATAGCTTAACGTCAGTAAAAACAATATCCTTTTGTTTTTCACTCATTGGGAAATACAAAAAATTCTTTACTATAATGAATTTTGCTTGTTAGATTTATATCCGGGTACCATAGATTTTATGGTAAGCAACTGTCCTTTTGCTACTGCGAGCAAGTTTAGGACCTGTGAGTTATTGGAGGGAGTTTGGTTAGCTGTACAGAAGAATTCACCGAATGATTCGCTTCCTTCAGATGAGAATAATTCGGTGTTTGTCGTTACACAAACTCAATGTTTTTTTCTGTTTTAAATTTCCTCTAAAAATATAGAAGCAATGATACACACATGTTTAGTGCAGAAATAATTCTACTTACCTGGAGTACAATTAAATGAGCCATCTGCATTGCATGTATATCTAGATGGCTCAGGTTTGCAATAAATCTGACAATGATTACCATAATAATTCTTTAAACAACTTAGTTGCATTCGCACGTTTACACTGAAATTAATTTATAAGAGAACAAATAGGAAGTAGCAGTCAGGGAAAAGAGAGCGAAACAAACATAAATGAAAATATTTTCCACTTCAAAGTACACCTGTATGCGAGAAAACTTACATATCTAGTACTCACTCTTAATAGTTTTGATAACTATAATTAGCTTAAAAATCCCTATTGAGTTATATGAATAAGAGAAGACGTTCAGCGAAAAGACCCTTTTCGGTGAATTTACTCACATAGCTGTAGAATCACATTTATATATAACTATTGTTTTGTGTGTCTACATGAAGTTTGCCAAGTTTAGATAATTCATAAGGTAATACAAGAATGATCTAATATAGAAACAAAGTTAATCAGACAGCAACGAAAGTAGAAGTGAGTTAACAAGTTAGATGACGTAATATAATGCCGAGTCCTGAACTCTGTATACAGAAGAAGTTCGTTCAATCACTACGCCTGCAATGGACGCAATCTATCTTAATGCCCGACAGGTAAATTCTATTATTTTGTCTTTTCAATTGTAATATTTCACATTTTCAACCTTCCTGTTCTCTACCCTAACCGAATTTAATTTCTACATCTCATTACTACTGTTACTGAATTGACTAACGCTCAATTCCTAGTCATTTACGTTACGTCATCCAACTTACTTACTCAATTTTACTTCAGTTGCTGCCTAATTAACCTTGTTTCTATATTAGATCTTTCTTCTATAACCTGATTAATTATCTAAACTTGAGAAACTTCATGTACACACAAAAAAATAGTTATATATAGATGTGATTGTACAGCTATGTGAATAAATTCGCCATCGAAAAGAGTCTCTTCGCTGAACGTCTTCTCTTTTTCAAATAACTATAATTTCCAGCATTCTGGATTCATCAGACGTATAGATTTAATAATATTTCCTGAATTGAAGACATTTTATTTCACACACTCTCGAAAACCTGAAGGCGAAAATCAACAAGTTGGCAGGACTGGCAGGTAGAGAAGACAGAACATCAGGTGAAAATGAAGCTGACACGGGGGATTTAGATACGTTACTGACTAACAACGAAGGACATCAATCACTACCAAAACGAAAAATTTCAAGTAGACCCCTTCTTCCATTTATCTAGGCAGCATCGTTCCAACTACAGGTGGATTTGATGAAAAACTTCAAAGCTCGTACTCAGTTTTAAATTTGTTTCCCTGAAATCTTGTATTATAAACTCCATGTAGTCCTTTTTATTTATTAATTTTGTAAATCATTTTCAACCTTTTGTTCTCTTGATTCCAGAAAACTTCTGATTTCTGTCATCAATTAACACTGATAGATATCAATCTTCCCTCTTCCCTTAGACAAGTGTATAGCTTTTAAGTGGAAAAAAGAGATTTTCGAAAGTTTGTTTGTAGGGATTGATTTCTTTCAAGTTTGATTTAGAATCGTTGTCAGTTAGATAATCATTGGAAACTGCCAAGGAGCACTCGATAGCTGTCTCGTCTCAATTTAGGCCTGTTCATCAGTACACAGCAACGACTCCATCACTTTTCGAACCTGGAAACTGCATTTATATCACTGAGTGATCAAACCTAAAACGAATCAAATGCCTACAAACCAACTCATGAAAATAAATATAATACTTGCTATTGACTGGTTACACTACGAAATTGAACGGAGTTCTAGCGAGAAGTCATGACCGATTTGAACCATCACGTTAGGTATGTGGACTAATAGTCGCCGATAACATCGACGGGAGGATCATTAGATCGGGTTCCGACTACTGGATGGTCTACGAACTTCTCATGTAACTGGAAGGTTTTGGGTTCCATCCCTGGCGATTAGTGTGTACTGCTGAGAAATATCAATCAGGTTCAGAAAAGGTATCTAGTGTTGCCTCGCGCTTACTGATCTCTTCAAATGATGTTGGTTAGTGACGAAATCTAACAGGTGAATTTGATTCAAATCCCGTAATTTGAATGTCTAAATACTAATTACTTTTTGACAAATACGCATATGTGGATATGTACACTGCCTATTCATATTATTATTAACAAAAGTAAAACTCTAAAAATTCATTAAAACTTGAAATTTTGAATTCTTCGTCAGTAAATCGGCCTAATTAACCATTCTTACTTCGTAGTTAAAATGTTGCAATCATTATACGTGCATACATTCACATTAATTATAATACGACTGCTCCTTTTCTTCAGAAAATGTTCGAATTTAATTCATTTTTTTAAAAAATTATGCGTTTTCATCTCAAAACAATAAAGTTTTAAATTTTTGCACCTTTCTTAAACCTATCCATTAGGTACTGTCATGATTAATAAATCTAAACAGCTAGGATATGCTTGCTAAATGATGTGGATTCAGCTATATCAAAGCTAGCGAATAGCTCTCTGACTGACTGAATGATTGAGCTTCAACACCGAACAAGACACGAAAGTGTACCAGTTGAAATTGACACTCTCCATGTGACACACAAAGATAAAGAAAAAGACTAGAGCTGTAATAAACAAAACCGTAGAGGAAAAAAAGAATAGTAATATGGCCAGACATCAGTGTTTAAAGGGTATGACAGATTGCAAATAAATAGTGAATGCATCTGCACTACTGAGAGCGAATTTGAGCCATTTCATCCAAACTTTCGAGCCAGTGATTTTCGGCCTCTCTAGGTACCCAACCGGGCAATCCAATAGTGAAAAATTTTCATGGACTGATACCATGTTTTCGTTTGGCTACGTTTGAATCTTTTCCCACCTTATCCTATAACGGGTACCATTGCTAGTCGAGAAAGGAGATGACTCGGTATACGCAACGGCTATCTTAGCCAATTTGATCGATGTGGCTTTATGATTTCAACAGTTCACTTCCCCTATTTACCTAGCAGTTGGCCTAACTTTATCACTCACCCTGCTATCCCATTTAACACACCAGACAGAACTTAGAAACCTATGATCAAAGACACTCAGCCTCTGTATATCTTCCACTTTCAATGGCCGTAGCTCACAACCATAAAGGAAGACAGGGTAGACTGATCGATAGATAGACATCACGTCTACACGATAGGTGATGTAGTTTGCATAGTGCCATACAGACGCCTTATATCTATGCCTAGATTTTTGTCAGCAATCAGCCCTTTGAGGCTGATCCACCCTCCCGAATGATTGAAACGGTCAACACACTCTACCATTTCACTATCTATTATAGTAATTGTGACCAAATCTAGCAACTGAAATTAAACTGTGGATGTGTCTGACCAATCACTGTTATTCTATACATTTTGTCTTGGTGAATTCAACATTTCTAAGTAATCCTACATTAGATCCATATATACAGAAGTCATACATACTCATACATACTACCGAATTCCACCAATATTTGGAAGAGCCAACCATTCAGTTTGACACGGACGCTTTGGCCTTTCTGAGATAAATGCCTAGAATGTATTTATGCATCTATAAATCAGCTGAAACCACCCTATGATTGATATATGTGTAAAACTTGGGCACTGTGGTAGTAAGTAATTCCATATTAGTTTGTTTATTAGATGCATGACACAGTGAGGGAAACAGTATTATATACTGGATGACGTTTCGAACACAATTTATTGCTGTTCATAATCATATCAATTTTGACCACACGACTTTGAAAAAAAAAATTTCATGACTAGTGCAGCAGATATGCATTTTAGATTTCTGTGTAGTGAATACATGTCTTGCTGTATGTATCCTATTCTGACTGACTGTAATATCCGCATGTGTGCCCCTCTAGTTAAAACGATCCTGATACATGAAGTAACCTCTCTCTGAAATTTACCTCCTTGATCTCGATTGGCACTTATTATTGTAGGCTGGTTATCTTTATTACCATCTCCATCTTCTCTATTTTAACTTGAAGTCTTGTCTCTTCTGCCAACGTGTTGGTCTTTATCTGCAGGTCTTCGAGTTTATATGGAACAGGAGCTAAATCATCCTCGAAGTCCCGGTCTTCTAGAGTCTCATTATCGGTCAAACGTATTCTCGCCTTTTCGCTCACCATATTCTAGTGCATCATCCAGTCCGTGACAGTTAGAAATGCAATCAATGATAATCGGTAGCCTTGTCAGATCTTGATATTTATTTCTTAGTAAGTATTGATGTAATACAGGTTATACTTTTAGTCAAACTTGGCAGTCATCAGCCAAATAAAATTGAATCTCTGCTGATCTTGTTCTTATTGTCATTGTTCCATCGAATGTGGAATTAAGTACCTTACATTTTCAGGCACTGGAGTCAACTCCTAGCAGAGAGGCTGATTAATGAGTCACCGAAAAGTATGAAATACTCGTCTAGATTTCTTCTGTGTTAACCACTACAAAAAATATTCAATCACATTTGTTTATTTTGAATTTTATTTTATAAATACAAACAATAACGAAACTTACAGAATGTTGTTATAGTATTGATTAGTATCTCTGACCATAGGTATAGCCGTCCATTGATTTGTTGGAAACAGGGTAAAATGTTGTGCTATCAGGGTGGCAATTTTCTCAGCACCTCCAAAAATATCTTCATCATATATGCCAATCGTAAATGTAAATTCATTCTAGAATTTCAGGAAAACCGAGATAAAGTGAAATAAAAATAGAAGAATTATTCATTTTCAGTGACATGCAACGTACAGGAGAAGCAGAATCTGAGAACAAAATTCCACTTTCAACACGTCTTGGTAGGGCTTACAAGCTCACGAAATTCTTGTAATTAGAAAATCAACACATACACTTCAATCAATCATAAAGTATAAAACACAACCCAACATCATACAAAAGGAGTGGTAAACATACATGATTCAAGACAGGCAAAACATATTGTGGCACTGTCGATTTGGGGAGTATATTATTACTTCTCCTTTGGGTTCCCTTTTGATTGTGGTCTGTTCTTCTTCCGTTGCCAGTGTGTCGTAGAATTGTTTTCTGTCTTTACCAGCACCCTCCTTCACATTTTGATTCACTGTGTTGTTGATTGAGGCCAGCTTCTCCTTGCCTGGTCAGTCTTCGCACTGCTTCACCTTCTGCCTCAGCATCCCTCTCTTTTCTATCCGCCTCCACGTTTATGTAGAAAGCTATCCCTTGTCTTTCTTCCTCAAATCTCTATAAGAGTTTCCTTCCACGTTACTTTTAGCGAATTCCAGTGTTTTCCCAAACAGTTTTCCTCGGTTTTGTCCCATAATGTCCTCCATTCTTTTCTGATGACTCCAGTCAGTATGTCCTTTATAGTATCGTGTTTTCGTTTCTAGATATCATACTCGAATTGCGATCTATCTCCAGCTTCTTTGAAGACTTTCAACTTGACCTTGAGTTTTCTGTCCACTAGATAATGGTCTGGGTCAACATTTGCTCCACTACTTGATTTTTTGTTCAGCAGGATGACTGCATCTCCGCTTTCATGGAATTGAGATGGAGTCTTTTGGTGTGTCCATCTAGTGAAATCCATACTCTTTGTGTATGTTTTTGTGTTTTTGTGTACACTACTTTCAATCACCAAGTCACTGGAAGCGCAGAAGTCTGCAAAGAGTTCTCCGCTGTCAATTATTTTTCCAAGAACATCGTGACCAGTGATGAGTTCTCTCCCTATTTATTCTGCTCGTAGTTTCTATGAAAGCAAAGATAAGCATAATGAAATTCCATTTCCTGGTAAATGGAGAGTCAATAATGTAACCCTATCGCCCAAAGATGATCATGACCACACTGAAAGAGTGGCCATCATGATGTCACCCAAAGCATCAAAATTTCTCATGTAGTAGGAACCAATCTCTTCTAGGATAATGACAGAAAGATTCAACTAGAAAAAAGGTTACAATCATTCAGAACTACATGCTAAAAAATAGTACACATCAGCAGAAGGAAGATTTCTGCAGACAACTCGAAACAGCAACTGACAGGACATCAATTTGTGACAACAAAATCCTAGTGAGTGTAATGAATGCCAGACTTGAGGAGAGGAGAAATATCTTATACCTACCTTCAAAAAAACCTGTATCCACGAGACTTTATCAAAATTCATCTAAACCGACACAGCCGGCTCATTCAAAATCATATATTCATAAAAGAAAGTAAATCGTCCTACCATGCATGAAAGATGCCTCTGAAAAGTCTTAGGAACAGATATTGCCTACAAAATGACAAAATATTGTCCGTCTATACTATGTCAACCAAAGGACACAACAACGAAAATAAGGCAAAACCAACATCATCTACGACATAAGTTCCGTCGACTTTGAAAGACATTACATCGGTCAAATTTGGCGTCCAATTTGTCCTAAAATCTACAAACACGAACTCTCTGCCATAGGACATGACTTCCGTTCCCTCATATTATTGCGTGCTGACCACTATGGGCACCAATTCTACTGGAGAAGTTTACAAATTTTAAACCAAAATTGACAGGGAATTCCCAGAAGCCTGAGACTCAGACGAATCTGCGATCAACAGAAATATTAATAAAGGTCTCAATTATCAATCAGTTAAGAACAAGTCATATAAGACAAAGCCAAACTCCAGGTTAGTGAAAAGATCGGTAGTAATACAAAATAACGGCCAATCACAACCAAGTCATCAAGAGAGTAAGCCACATCAGTTACAGAGGATGTCACAAAGCGGCACTTCATGCTAAAGCCTACAGTTAATATATTGTCTGAAAATACAATGATAGCAATGAAATTGAATCATCCGGTTCTCAGAAGATTTCTATGCCAAAATACTACACTCGGTTTATTTCGAGGATGTCGTCATAAACTAGACGATACCTAAAACAGCAACCATCAAACTTCCTCTGTGTTGATATACTTCCTTTTGTAACTAAATCTATCATTGAAAAGTAATTCAGAATGCTTTTGAGAACTATTTTGAAATCAACAACATTATACTACTTTCTAATAGTAAGTAGGTAAACGTGTATAAATAAAAGTAGCCGTAATATATTAATCCATATTTTATGTTTCACTTCATGAATTGAAACTTCTTGACATTAAGTATCTATTTCTGGGAAATACAGTTTAAGGAGGTGAACTGTTGTACAAGGTTTGTTGCAAGGCAATTCAAATGAATCTTCCATTTCGTGCCAACAAACGGTGTTACCTCAAATCTGGATAATATATTTAAATAAAGTGAAGAACTCTTAAGGTATATTATGGCGAAACATTCGACAGCTTGTAAATTAACGAAACATTGTTGAACTGAAGTACACTTTAACCTATTCAGTTTTACTTAGTGAATTCTTGATTGATATTGCCTGAAGAATACATAATGACTTGATGAAAATTACAGGTGAATATATATCGCTATTGAAAGCCCTCCTAGATACCAAGAGTTCAGGTCGTTTGGTGAAATTCCGTTGTGTGAGCTGGGTCAAAACTCTGTCACTGCAGCTATTCTTTAGAATTTGAAGACATGAGGTGTTGACGAGTACCAACAAGGTCTGATATCAGACAGTAGAGCTTGCTAGTCAGACTTAAGGGATATAAACAATAGCAGGGTTTTTCACTTATTTGGTAGTGAGTCCACCAAAGACCTCCGTCATTATATTCCATCTTATCTACCATGTTCCTATTGTTTCAATTAACGTCTAGTAGTATTATTTACTTTTGCCAGTATTTTAAATGTTAACAGACTGCTAATTTGAAAGTTTATACTATACTGGGAAAAAATCATAATCGTGGCTGGTATCGTATCTGAATATATGACATAAGTGTTCCTGATAATTTCAATACAAACTCCCACTCCCTAGGAATTAAAACCAACTGCTTGAAGTCCTTATTCACTCAGTTATCTGTTCGGGTCAAAAAATGTACTTGAGCCCTTTTTTTAACTGGCATTCAACTAAATGTCATGTATTTCTTGCAGAAGACAAAGAAGAAACATCATAAGTGGTTAGTTTGCTCTTCACTTCAGACAGTGGTGTGTCACGCGATCTGTTGTCAATTACTATTTCACTTCAAGATCCAGTATGAAGAGAAAATATTGAACAATAAATTCTCTCGAGAATTCAGTAAATTATACAAAATACTGTTTTGGATAAAGCTATTATTAATACTATTATTAAAACTCATATCCCCCTTAAGTTCAAGTGGAATGATCATCAACAATACGAAAGAGTAATAGTTATATGAATGTAAAATTCTAATTAGTTATTTGAAAAGTACACAAGTCTGAATGTGTATGTGTGTGACCCCACAATAGTTTCCTTTTGATGAAAAAGCTAAAATGTTCAAGCTGTATAGTTAAACCTACTTGATACCATAGAAAAATAAAGCTTAAAGAATGTTTACCTTGACTCATAATACTGATTGGTACACGTAACTGTAAACCACTTACAAGCTAGATTCAAGTGTTCTAAGCACCATAAAGTCTCTATGATAATCTTAGATTGTATTCACTTTTCATCAGTGTACAGTTTCATTTGAGTTCAGAAAGCAAGACTGCAGATTTATGAAGTCAGAAGGGAGTGAAAAAAACATCTGCCTTCAATAAATCGAAAGATCTTGTTGACTTCGTTAAACTAGATAAAGCAGACATATCACTCACTTCTAAAAACGAGACTACATCACACACTCATAGTTGTCTGAAGCCCCTCCAATGTTAAAGTAGGTTCTTAAAAACGACTTCCTTTAAAAACAACAAACTGGTACATAAAAAGATGAGAAACAAATCAAAGTTATTCTGTATTTCATAGCGATTGATTCTATTTGACTAAAATGCTGCATCTCTGTTCACATTTCAGTATAGACGTTTTTAATGTGCCCCGATATAAACAAGGTGTTTCTTCGTTGATGGTGGCTAGCACTAGAATGCAGAATGCCTAATTACCATTCTTTTCGGAAGTGTTCGGATGGACGTGTCTGCGTTCCAAGTGACTGATGATCTTCTTACTGGAACTGGAACCTAGAAGGACTGATTTTAAAGAAGCCTAGGATGATGGAAGATGACTTCGAACTGAATAAATAATAAAGCGGAAATGAGTTCACGCGTTTATTCATTGAGAACACAAAGGATTTTAATTATCATATATTATAATTATCCCCTTGGGTTCAGAATACAACATAGAACGTTAGCAGTAATCTTCATTTCACTCCGTCCTCTACTGTCATTTTAGCCGGCTCCACGATTGCCGATTAGCTAGCACTTTCTTTAAACGCGATCTCCCCCATGTTGCTCAAGGAAGCCCAACTCATCATTTCCTACTCGGGTCCCAGTGGATGGTCTGCCTAGTGTTTGATATCATGCAACGGTTTCAACACTAAATTTCCTATCCATCTCCATTTTCTACTGTAAGTCTGTTAGGCGATAGGTTGATTCGTCGCCTACCAGAGGTCCTTGCAGTTTATCTTCTCTGGCCATCTGATCTTCATACAGTATATCTGAATTTAAACTGTTTCTGTCAACTGAGGATGCCAAATAAAATAATTTTTCTCATCCAGTAGATGGTGGGTTTTTATGAATTCACCAGTTTTATAGGATTTTTGAGGATTGGAACTAATTTAATTTCAATTACGTTACTCTGTCGCGAGTCAACATCAAGGATAGAGACGTTTACAAATTAGGGACCACTTGACAGACGTTTCGTTCTATTCTGGGACTCATTTTCAGAAGGCACACATGACTACACCAGGGATCGAACCCATGAGACTAAGCTCGCTGACCACTCAGCCACTTGGGCCGGAATTCCATGATCCCTGAATCCTTACGTCATCAATTCGAAATATAACACTGCCCTCAACAATGCCTTCCATGAGCATGAAATTCACTTTGACATGGCAGACTCCACTGATCATGACTGTCTTGAGGCGGTAAGTCCCAGGTTCAGTTTCTGGTAGGATAGCATATGCGAATTCTTGAAGAGTCCCAAATTAGGTCAAAGTAGCTATCCATTGCTGTGTGGTTTTCAATGATCTCTCTACATGATGCTGGTTCGGTACCAGTTAGTTAACAGTTTCAGCTGAAAACTCTTTCAAATTCCTTGTGAAGTTCTATGTAACAGAGAACAAAACCATTATCAGATACGTTTGGAAATACCATAACGTTTCTTCTCCACCTAACAAGCCTCTGACACATAAAAAGCCAATCTCCAAAATCATCAATATCAATGTTTTACCTCTGAAAAAGCATAATCTCTATTCGGCTTCCTCACTTCTCTTCTTTTATGGTTAAAATAAATTGAAAATAATTTTTAGAAGACATATTCTTGATATGTTCCAGAGATTAACAGAAAACTCAGACTAAATGTCATATAATAAATTTTTGTTGTGAATAAATCAGGATAACAGCCAATCATTATCGAGCAGCCTTCTCTTGCTATTCCCATTGGTTAGCTGGCTGACAAGGTCGCCTACACTTCGTAAACCTGGATTACCCACTTTATTTGTAAATCTTACATTTTTGTTTTGCCCCTGTGTTTAATTAAACAAACTGATTCTTCACTCAATTTAGATATACTGGAGACAAATATGAATCCAAATATCAAGTCTACAATAGCCAATCAGCTTCATGCAAAAAATAGCAATACTAATCAATAACAATAACCACCAAAAGATACAAGATAAATAAACTACACTAGAATTAGGCTAAGCTCATTACTGGCTAACATTCCAATATACAAAAAACCCACCATATCTCTCCATTCATTAAAAATATGTATTTATTTCAACGATTACGTAATCCAGAACAGATTTGATCTTACTAGTATATTTATAAATTAGTTAACCCACTGAATTCCTATTTGGCTTTAATAAGGAAACAAAACTGTGAACCAGCTCAATTTATCCTTATTAACAAAGTAGACTGATCCCTGAGGTTCTGAGTGGAACACTGGATTTCAATAAAATATCAGCATTTCATACTGATTTAGAAAGTTACCTTTAGCTGACTTCAAGACTGTTGTTGTGCTTTCAATTCTCCATTGCACGATCTCCCCCATGTCATTCTGGGACTACGTACCCCTAGCCTGGGGTCTCCCATTCATGTTTCACCTGACAGCCTCGCGCGTGATGTCATTTAACAGTCTGATCAACATATGTTGGATCCATCTACATATTTTTCGGAATATTTGTTGGATAGCTGATTCTTAGTTGGTTAATTGATAGATTCCTTCCTCATAGAAGATACCATATTCACTTTGGAGGGGAGGCAGCTGTTTGCAGTAGCAGCAGATGCTTTTGGTGACATGTCAAGTCTTTGAACAATGCGGAAGAACTGACTGAGTTAACATTAGGGTTGAAAATCTGAATAGTGCAGTTGACTTTCAGATTGATTCTAGATTAATAAAAATCTGTCTTGCCTGCCCACTTCTGGCAGTGACTGATTGACTGACTTATAGTAGCTACCTATCTATACCAGCCAACCAATCAGTCAGCAATGGTTTCAATTTTGCAAGTTAAGAATTAATACGAGATATAAAGTCTGTACAATTTGACATGATATTTCACCACAGTTTCCTTTGGAAACAGAAATTATCCAGATCACACATTATGTAATCTTCTTGATGCGATAAGTGACAGTTAAGAAAGCACGCATATAAGTATCACTGAGCTGTACTGAAATTAGGGACGGCATTTCAGACTGATTCTCACTTGACACAGAATAAATCACTTACAACAACCGGTGGAGCATTTTCGGGAGCTTTCTTGGAATCCAAGAGTGTTTCGAGTGTAATTAACTCAACAATATGCCTACACAATCGATCTACATTAAGTATTATACTAGAAAATTCATGTAATCAGTCTATAAAAAGCATCAACCGACCACAGGTTGGTTTTCATCACTGAAAATTGAACGTAATTACTAAGAGTTTGCGTAACGGATGGAGATTTCGAAAACAGGATCAGAAATGTAAGGAAGAGATGGATTAATCTGCCATCAGTATGGAAATCTACTGCACTCAGCATAAGAAATCAGATTCGGATACTCAAACCTAAAATTATGTCAGTTCTTCTGTGGGGTTCAGACAAGGCACACTCGTCGCTAAAGACATTTCTAATGGACCACCACAGACTTTCATCAACATATGCCTTTACTCCATACTCAAGATAAAATAGCCAGCAGGAAAAGTTAGCGACAGGGAACTCTGGAAAGGAACTAACAGAGAATCTACTGAGTAACAAATATGTCGAGGAAAATAGAGATGACTGGATACTCACTGAGGAGACCCATGAGTGATATCACACTTCAGTCCCTGGAACAGAACCAGAATGGGAAACAACGAGTTAGGAGTGGGTACGAGAGTGATATGGAGCAGGAGACGAGAGCTATCATCGAGCCAACTAATGAAGACTTCAAGGAACAGTATGAAATGGGAATTTGTTGCTGATGCCCTATATCCCTCTCAGAAGTGTGTAAATCCATACATTCCAGTTAATAAAGGAAAAAAACTCCAAAACGTTCCACTAATTTATGCTATGATAATAATTTCGTTACAGAAGTTAATATAACACTTATGTGTATCATCTTTGCATATCCAAATGGATGATTAGACAACTATTAGAACCTTATCTGATGCTGTAACGTGTGCTACATATGAATATATAACTAGGTGAGGTATACAGAGAACATGTAACCAGTAATGATTGCCATTTCATTAGAAAAACCCCTGCAGAGGATTATATTTCAAAGAATCACTTAATAAACGACATGTTTATAGCTTAAGTACTTTGCCCAGTATTAAAATCTCAATACAAGGATTATTATTTGTTTGATGTTCATTGTATCTTGCCTCAATACAAATCAAATTACCTCTACTACTAGAAATGTTTTTGTGGAACATTAGATAGTATATATGAGAACAGCTAGACATCTCAGATGAATTTAAGTGATTATAATAAGTACAAAATAATCTTACCCACCGAGATATATGTAAAACTCTAAGGAAGGGGTTTAGGAGAACAAATTAAACTTCTACTGTTGAATAATCATTCACAAAATAACCGTCAACTTACAGGAGCTGGTTGAGGAAGAAATATTTCAATTCCATCACCTCCACGAAACTCTAGATAACCAGCATTATCATATCTCCGTGTCGTATACTGGAGAAGATGACACTTATCTATGCTTTAGTGAAGAAAATAGAATAAAAAGAATAAAAATGATAAAAACTCAAAGAGTTGCAAATATATATATATATACAACGACTATAAATCCCACACAAAAGCGGATAACTTCACACCTATGTGCTTACTAACAGCCAACTTTTTCACTCAACCTGTGGTTTAGTATTGCTTCAAACCTCAGCCTGTCAATCGTATAGCTAAGTGAAACGGTCAGCACACAAAGTGTACCTTCCCATTAGTGAATGATGGTGTGTTTTCATGGTTTATCAAAGTCGTCAGTCTAATGTATTTATCGGCTTTATTCAAACAGATACCCTAACAATAATCAACTGCGCAAAAAAGACGTATTTTCAAGAATGCCTAGTACGATCAGCTTCTGTTGTAACGGCAGAAGACAAGAGACTTGGTAACGGGATGTCTGCTTGGAATTTAGTATTTCTATATAGCGCAATTAGATACACCTTATCTCTAAATCCTCATTAGCACAGGTCTTCGGTGCTGTGCTACTTCTTTCCTTCGTATTACGTTTCTTTGTCTTCCTTTTCACGTCTCTCGTGTTTTGCTGCTGTGCTGAATCATTTGATCTCTTTGACATCAAATCTATCTCCCTGCTATTTGACATTTTTATGCCGATGAATGTTTATCTATACATTATTATATTATTATTCCCTTTAATTCCTAGAGGAACATGGGGCTTCAGCTGCACGTCTCCATTGCGTTCGGTTCTCTGCTAAAGTTTTCATCTGGCTTCAAGTCTGTCCACATGCTTTATTCTCCTGTTCACATGAACTCCTCCAAGTCACCCTCACGCTGACGACCAACTCGCCGCTTCCCTTTCGGGGTTCACACGAGCAATGGCTTGTCTAGTGATGTCACCTGATAGTTTGTTTTCTCAAAGAATGGCCAATCCATCTCCATTTCTTCCTGCTTATTTGTTTTACAATCTGTTTCTCGTTGGTTTGCTCTCAGAGATCCCCGTTGCTGATCTTTTCTGGCTATCGGATCTTGAGTAGTGAGCGGAAACAGCTGTTGATGAAGGTCTGATGCACCAAGTCTCTGATCCGTACAGTAGCACTGATTGTACATTGGAGTTGAAAATCCGAATCTTACTTTTGATGCTGAGTGCTGTTGACCTCCACACAGACTTGAGAGTAATGAAAGCTTGTCTCTATCTGTATACTACTGATAAATTTTATCAGTAGTACACGCCACACTGGTTTCTGGTATTTTGTCGAGCCGTGTACTAATGTTCAGACTGAAAGGAAATATATGGTGATCTGACTACTATGTAGTAATCACTGTTATGATGTTTAGTCCTTAGATCTAATTGAAATTTTATCAATCAAGTTTTCAGGGTAGTAACAAAGCTAAAGGCAATTCATCATTATTATTCAACTTACAGTGGTATTAGATGATTGGAAGTGATGTCATCGACTGCAATACTAGATGGCTGTGGTTTCAGATTCTGAAAGGATATTAGTTCCTTAGAGATTGTGGATATGTCTTGTCTACGACTGCTCATAGCCACATAATCTACTTTAAGACGTTCTTCACGACTGCCTCCAACCGCAATTACAAAAAGGTTTATTCAGTTTCGACATTTCCACATTACTCGTCGTTAATCCTCTCTCCTTTAATTAAGTATTATCATATAAATGAATTGATAGCGCATTTCATGTGGCGTTGAACGCGAACAGCAGTGAGTAAAAATCCTTTCAGACGTCGAAATCTTCCAAGTTTAAAATAAAACTTAGATATATGACATAATTTACTTCATTAGGTTTCAAAGACTTGGTGAGTCACCGAAAGAATTTAAAAAAGGCTACCACAGGCTAATGTGGAAAATCAGATGGCCAGCCACATTGAACCTATTATCAACAAGGAAGTCTGGTAGCAAATCTGACGACAGCCTAACACCTATGAATATGGAGATGGAATAGACATGCTGCAAGGAGGACTTCATGTGAAATCATTGGTCAGGTAGGCTTTCGGGAGGAAGCACATGATAAAGCAAACGGTTGGAAGTCAGAATCTGACACGGAGAAGGTTATATGGAAAGGAAATGAAAGTTTGTGGATAGTTGTGGAGCCAGAAAACTGAGTGAAATGAAGACACCCTGCTGAATCTTTAAGTTCCATTCTAAACGTAATGAATGCATAACAATCATAATCATAATGTCATTAGCGTTACACAGTTTGCCCATAGAAAAGCAATTTGTACGAGCGCTTTCGTCATGTACCTTAAGTGAGATTCAGTGAAAAGTTTGTACTCTTCGAACTGTTTCAGTGAAAAACACTAGGCTATGCTTACTCATATTCCCGTAACTGTAGCTTTGTCTAATTTTAATTAAATTTCAGATTTTCCCGTCGATTGATTGGACCGAAGTGTTCGGTCTCAGGTTGACATGTCGAGCCTCGGTGGGAAAATCATCACTTACTGCGAAATGCAAGTACATCCAGATGAAGAGTCCCAAATAGGACGAAATTCTCATCCTGGATTCCACTGCTAGTCACCATCCACCAATTTGTCTAATTTTGGTTGATATTATGCTATAAACTTACAATAATTATATTTTGTAGTTATCGTGTATCTATGGCGCCTTTTCTACTTCCAGTTGCCTGCAAATTCTGAACCTTCATCAGGTGTTAACTCTTCAAGATTACTAGGGGATTTAGCTTTTGTGAATGTCGTTTATAACCAAATATTTAAAACTGTTGTTAACTATTTCAGCTGTTGATTGTGACGGTTGAAGATCTCTTCTCAACATTCCATTTTCTCTGCTGTTTTCTTATTCCGGCGCGATCGCTAGTGTTACTATGTCTGACATTGTGATTATCAATCACATTAGTTTTAGTTAACACATTGTACTACTTTTGGTCGTAGTTGATTAGGTTGAATTACCAGTAAAATCAGCTTGCATCGATTTCAGTCTACCTTCTGTAAATTAACCTAATCCACTGTTCTTATTGGAACGCCTACATAATATCATTCGCTAACGACTCACCGATCATAACAAGGGGAACAAACAAGGTGGTCAGCACTGGAAAGCTTTTAGGATGCCAACGAAGAACAAAATTGTCTAAGAACGACTACAAAAGTGCAAAAATTAATAAGTTCAAAGAGTAAATAGGTATTTTGAGAACAATATCCATATAAGCGAAAGAAAACAAGAGGCTAGCAATCATGTAAAAGGAGAGTGCGATATAATATTACAAATAATAAATTAAATAGGTACTATAATAATATAGATGAGTTAGGCACTCGTGATACGTTAACACCTGGAGTAAAACACCTCTGTGGCAAAGACATATCAATCACAAAACCAATTAAAAATTAAGAAAAAATTCTTATCATACCTGACTGTAAGACAGAAACGAACCAATACAATTTTAGCTACATATCACATCAAACCTAAGTAATTATGGTTTGCTCAAAATCCAAAAAGCACCACTTTAATATAATAGATGATGACTGGAGGTGAACACAAATCTAGATCGCCACAAGAATGGCACCAGCAGCCTTCAAATTATCAGTTCTCGGCTCTACCAAATAAGCTACGAGATCAAGTTTCTAGCAAGGTCACCATATCACTGTAACCATGTAAATAAAAGATACTCGTGTCTGTTTTCTATTAAATTGGCAACTCAACTAGGTATTCTATCCTATACGACTCCTAATCTTTTATCACTCTGAAAACAAGTGAAAAAGCGTATGCCCATATAATTATCATGCTTGCTTTCTTGATCATTATGGTATCGGGAAGATCACATATTATGATCTAAATAGTTTTAATTTCCAGAGGAAGCTGGGGATTTTTCATCAGGAACTGTATAGTTCGCTAACGACGAATCGGATTCCATTTATTAGCAATTTGCTTAAATAGCTATCCGGCATTCAGGTAGTTTGAAGTGATTCTTTTCCCTGTAGCAGATGAATTGAGCAAAACCATTTAATGAACTCAGTCCCAAACAAGTGAAACGGCCTTCCCGCGTCTAATCCACTTAGATGTAGGCAGTGAGCACGATTGACTGACATAAGTATTTTACAACTGCATGTATCAGCCAGTAGCATGCACTATCATGCCATATCTATCCATTTAACAACATGTGTTTATTGACGAACGTTATGATTAAGATCATTTTTGTTTACTTGTATTAATGTAGCCCTTCATTTTTTAATTCGTCATGAACACTTTTAGCAAACTGACTTGGTAAACATTTAAGCAAGGCTACGTTTTAAACGAATAGACAAATATTTGTATACTAAAATTTAATAAAATTAAATGAACCTTTATTTAAATTCCTGTACAATTAATATTTTAATGCATTTCAAACAAAATACAGCGTTTTTGTCTACCTTAGATACAGAAAATGTTTTGTGATATGTGTCAAATGTATAAACAATTAACTGACATTGAACACTATTGAACAGTAGTAGCGGGCATTTTAAAATATCACATATATAATATACCTGCTGCGTATAATATTCAATGAAAACTAATTCTAATTCTAACAGATACATTTAATCGATAATTGACACGGAATTTGAAAAGGTATTTAACCGGTAGTGTATATACGTGTAATCAAATATTGTGAACAGTGTTAATGTTAATTAGAGTATTATATTCCTAGTTAATGTTGAATCAATTTATCAAAATAATACGTACATATTCATGCATACATTACACTGATTACGTGTATAGATTAATCAGTTATTACTTAATGAGATAGTGAACGTTGTTGGAACAAACCATTTGAAAATGTTAAGTAATATGCATCTATCAAGGTATTTTGTGTCAAAACAAGCTACATCTGATAAAAATAAAATAAATGCGATGGAATAATAATCACAGAATACATGTATTCACGCTTCATATTTCTTTTTAGATGAAAATTAAAATGTATGAACTGCTTGTGGTATGGATTAACGGTGCTAAAATACGACGAGGACTGAAATACATACACATATAATTGAATCGCATTATCATTATTCCCTTGGGTT